TCAGGCTGTGGCAGAGGAGCCTGTTACAGAGCCTCAGAGTGGGCTGTTAGGAAGCAGCACTCTGGAATGAGAGTCAAAGTGACTAGTTTTACTAGAAAGCCAGTTTCCTTTAGGGTTTTCCTATCATTAGTATGGAAAAATAAACCTCTGAATTGTGAAAGTGGGCACAGACCTGAACTTCCCTTTTGTGTGACTGGGGAGACCTGAATGGCCAAGCCAGCGTTAGTCTTGGAGCAGCTTCCCAGCTACTGTTCTTGGAACATACTTTGCTGGGTTTGTTTTGGGTTTTGTTTTTTGAGGATTTTTGGTGGGGTGGTTGGTTTGATTGACTGATTGATTGATTGATTGATTTGGAGAGGTTGGTTTTAGGTTTGTTTAGGAGTTTTTTGTTTACTTGGATTTTTGAGCCTGGGAAAGCTTAAGATACTTTATCCCCCCCCCAGTCCTCCTTTACAGAAGGCAGATAGCTTAGCAAATATTAATGACTGTGTTTCTAAATCTGCAAACTGGGCATGTTTCATGACTTTTCCAGGATTGGTCTGCACAAAATCATTGAGGTTTCATGAAGGAGATATTCTTTAATGATTTTAAATTTACAATCCCTGAATAGCTCAAATAAGGCAAACATCCTGTATCTCATCCTGACAATAACACTTCAGGATGTGCAGGTTTTGTTGAGGTATAATTGGCTTCTGCTTAGGGAGAACATTAAGCACCGAGGGAAAAACGTTGTATGGAAATGATGCCCCTAAGCAGCACTGTTGAGGGGGTATCTTTTGCATTATATAGATAATTTTTGTGAGATTTTTTTTTTGTACGCTGAATTGTTTGAGTTGGTGTTACTTTAGTGATTGTTTGTATTTGTGTGGTCCATAAGCCAACTGAAGCAGATTGGATGTAGTATCCTTTTCCAGTTGGGAGACTAAAAGGTGATGTGACCCACTGCTATCCCATTATGGTTTTCCTTCTAGCCCTCTTACTCCAGAGCAAAACTGAAATTGTTGGAAAGCCGTTAAGCTGCTGCAGTACTTGTGCTTAGTAAATCCCCACAGTTTGTGAGTAACGCCTTCTCTCCGTGTGCTGTCCAATGAAGGGAATTTGCATGGCGAGATCCAGAGCTGCCTGAGGTCATTCACATGCTCCAGCACCAGTTCCCATCGGTGCAGGCCAACGCAGCTGCCTATCTGCAGCATCTCTGCTTTGGGGATAACAAAGTGAAAACAGAGGTAGGTGCTGCTTGTGCTGCTCTTCCAGGGCAACAGTACCAGGAAAACTAGGCCTCTTGCCTCTTCCCTTTTTTTCCATTGTGACACAGTGTTTGTGACCCTCCTGTGTTCCTGTGTGTACCAGGTGGATGCTAATACTGAAGTGCCTGAGGGTGAGTTATTATGCACACTCAGATTCTTCCTGTCGTAAGAGCTGCATGGAAATTCTATGGAAATCTTTTACCTTGAAGTTGTGTCATCCAGCAGAACTCTAAAGTAGGTTTCCAGAGCCTGGCTTTGTGTAACCTGTTGGTGACTGGAGACTAGAACAACCAGGAGCTCTGGAGTGCTTTCAGTGGTTTTTATCAAGGCGTTTTTAAGGCACCAGAGTGATGCCTTTGCGTGACCTGTCAGGCAAAGGAAACGGCGCAACCCTGGAGAAGCATGGAGGAAACTTTTTATGTTACGGTGATGTGGGGGCAGGATACACATGAGTGAACATTCACATTATTATTGAAATTCCAAGAAACCTTGCATTCAAAGACCTGCTGTTTTTGCAAAGCAGCTGTGAGCTGTTGATTTGAAGGAATTTGCTTTTTCATTTGCATCCTATGTGTGTGTGCTAGATGTTATTTTCAGCATAAATTTTATGTTAGTTAAATGTTGGTGCTACTTTTGTAAGAAGATAGCCCAAACATAATTCACTGTTGCTGGGAGATGAAAAGGTGGTAGTTTTGATGATATGGTGACGATCACAGTGATAATCAGCTCTTATCTCCAATATTCCCTAAAAAGTTATTCTGGGGTTTAGGAAATTATTTTAAAACTGGAAACAAAACTGATGCAATAACAATTCTCTGAACACAGCACGTGTCTGAAAATGACCCTCAGCCATTGCAATGGGGTGGGGGGGAGGTTCAGTCCCACGTAGCATTCAAGTCAATAAGGCTCAGCAGCTGTTTCTTCTGGAAGTAGAATGGGAAGTACTGTTTTCATAAAAACAAAAGCCTTTTACATCTGCGGAGTGAGGTGGCTGAGATCAGTGGATGCTGATGGTTCTGACATTACACTTTCCAGGTCTGTAGGCTAGGAGGTATCAAGCACCTGGTGGATCTCCTGGATCACAGAGTCCTGGAGGTTCAGAAGAATGCCTGTGGTGCACTGAGGAACCTCGTTTATGGGAAGTCCACTGATGAGAACAAAATAGCCATGAAGAATGTGGGAGGGATACCTGCCCTTCTGCGGCTGCTGAGGAAGTCTGTCGATGCTGAGGTCAAAGAGCTGGTGACAGGTAAGCTTGGAAGGGAAACTAGCAGAGAGCTGTAATGCAAGCTTTTCTGGACACTTATCTTGATCAGTTAAAACAGCACAGAGTGTAGAGTCATTGGGAGAAGTCAATACTGAGGTAGTTGCTCTAAAGCTCCACTTCAGGGTGGATTTTCCCTCATATGAGTGTCCTGCACACACAGCAGGTATTTCTTTATTGATTCTGAACATTTCTTTTATTATGAGCTTTTATTATCTTTTCTTGGCAACTGTTTTAAAGAAGTTCTTGCAGAATTCATAAGATGGATCCAAACTATGTAAATGTGTATGGTATTTAATCTGAATTGTAATCAAGGATGACTTCTTCAGAAAAGGTATTTAATCTGTCTTTCATGATGAAAAAGAAGGTTCAGTTCTGTCTTCAGCATGTTATTTGTATATACAGTTCTGCTGGTAATTTATGTCAGATTTCATACTTCTGTGTCTGAATGTCATGTATGGAGACTTTGCCAGGCAGGGGACTAGGGATTTCTGCCCGAGGGTAGAAGGTGGATAGCAGTTCTCTGTGGCTGATATATGGATGGGACATGCTCTGGACTTGTTGCTGTTGTTTCCAGGAAGAAAGTGTCTGTGGGATTTTTACGTCCCTTCTTGTATGTTCTCTGCTCCTCAGTACCTGACATCCCTGGTATACAGTGCAAGGTAGCAGGAATGCCAGGGCAGGCCATTCTTATTGGAAAAAAATCCAGCCAAAGCTATACCCTCTTCTACTGTTCACCTTGCTTTCCTCCTTTTTGGATGCTGGCTCTCCACCTTCTGCCTGCTCCAGAATTGCATCACATATTTAAAGTATTGTCTTTTAAGTTGTCAGTGTTGCTTCATGTTTGTTTGCTAAGTCTCTGCTGACTTTACTGCTCTGGAAATGTCTTCTAAGGGGTTCTCTGGAACTTGTCTTCGTGTGATGCCGTGAAGATGACAATCATTAGAGATGCTTTGTCCACGCTGACAAACACTGTGATAGTGCCCCACTCGGGATGGAACAGCTCCTCCTTTGATGATGATCATAAAATTAAATTTCAGACTTCCCTTGTTCTGCGCAATACAACAGGATGCCTGAGGTATTTGCTCTTTTAGAATACTCCCTTTTAAAGAGAAATCATGTTATCCAGCAGGTCTTTCTTGTATTGTAATTTTAAAGACAAAGGAATTGTTTTAATCTATAAATTACAGAGTTCTATCATGTAGACAGCTTTTACAATTGTCCTTTCTTCCCAAATAGAAAAACATGAAAATTACCAAGTTAGTCACTAGGAGTTGCTAACCAATTACCAATCAGCTGCATAAAAACCTTCTGTAAACTGGCTAGTAAGTGATTATCTGTCTGTCCTTGCACACACCGTGTTCCTTTGTCATTCCAACCTTCAGGAACCTGAGCTCCGCTGGGGAAGAGGCACGAAAGCAGATGAGGTCCTGTGAAGGACTGGTCGATTCGCTGCTCTATGTGATCCACACCTGTGTGAACACCTCAGATTATGACAGCAAGGTGTGTGCATGTCTCATCTACCGATACTTCAGTGCTAACCTGTGTGTCAGATCCTGGGGCTTTGTATAGCTCAGCTGAGCATGGTGATGTCCTCAACTCAACTGGCATTGCTCCCAGCCCCAGGTTATTGAGGCACAGCCAAGCTCAGCTGCATAACACAGGGTGTCCTCTTGTTTTCAGCAGTGCTGCAGTATCTGTTTCTTAGGAAAACAATAATAAGCTCTTATGCTTTTCATTTTCAGAATACTAAAGAATAAGCCACTTTAGCAAACACCACTCTTATAAAAATTGTCATATTTGAGAGAGATTTCATTTACCCAGAGAAGCGGCCAAAACACAGCCCAAGGTCCAGCATTAGAGTTTAGCACTTGTGCTCCCAGTGTCTTTTCTCCTCTGCTGAACTGGTTTTGTTTGGTTTGTGTCTGTGTGAGGAAGAACTGGTGACATGTGATGTCTCTCTGTTTTGGTTCAGACTGTGGAGAATTGTGTGTGCACCTTGAGGAACCTTTCCTACCGCTTGGAACTGGAGGTACCTCAGGCACGGCTGCTGGGAATCAATGAACTGGATGACTTGTTGGGAAAAGAGTCACCCAGCAAAGACTCAGAGCCAAGCTGCTGGGGGAAAAAAAAGAAGAAGAAAAAAAAAACTTCCCAGGAGGATCAGGTTTGTATTTTCCATGTACTGCAAATACCTCATGTGGGGTTTGGCTCACGGTCGGGGAGGACATAGCTTGACAAAAACAATTCTACATTGAATGACAATATAGAGGTTTTGTCCAGTTACAAATCTGTGTTCCTTCCTCAGTGGGATGGAGTTGGCCCTATCCCGGGATTTTCCAAGTCTCCTAAAGGGGTGGAGATGCTCTGGCACCCATCGGTGGTGAAGCCATACCTGACACTCCTGGCAGAGAGCTCCAACCCAGCCACTCTGGAGGGCTCTGCAGGATCACTCCAGAACCTTTCTGCAGGCAATTGGAAGGTATGGGAATTCCTGCTCCTTCTTTCTTTGTAGTCCAGCCCTTTTTTCTAGTAAGACCCTGGAATGTGTTTGTAGGGGACTTGTCATTTTCTCGTGTGCATCTGAGCATTCCCTTCTTGTCTGTGCATTAGTGCTCACATGCTGCAGTCATGTTTCCACACTGAAAAGCCTTGGCAGAGAGCTGGGGCAACAAGAGCCATATGGAAGCTGGCCTTTATTTTAAATAAACAGAAAAAGCTTCTTCCAGTGCATATCAGATCAAAACAACCTTCCGGCGTCTTCTAACTGTGAATTCTGGTGGGAAGGTGCTGTTGAAATAAGACCAGGACACATTAATTTACCTTGTTTCCATACGTTCCTGCCATTGTATATAATGTGCTACAAAAGCAGCACATGAGAAGCCTATATTGTGTCATGTATTTGTCATGGAGAAATTAAAAAACACAGCAAGCATTAATTGCTTCCTTTGCTTGCAGCAAGCCAGCTAAGCCTTTTTCAGTTTGACCGTTATGAAATTGGTATTTAAAAAAAAAATACAACAAAACCAAAGCCCCCTGCTCCCTTTTCAATAATCATCATCTGATCGAATACTTTCTCTCTTTGCAAGAGGAATGAGTGAAAAAGGGCAAAGAGCTAGCTCTTCATAGTCACAGAAAAAGCACACATCAAACATGTCATCTTTTATTGGAAATGACCAAACATGCTTGAGGGTTCCAGTGGCAGTGATGTGGTGGGCTGGAGGTAACTGAGGCTCTGCTCAGTTCGCAGCCTACATCCGCGCTGCTGTGAGGAAGGAGAAGGGGCTGCCCATCCTCGTGGAGCTGCTGAGGATGGACAATGACAGAGTGGTGTCATCTGTGGCAACTGCCTTAAGGAACATGGCCTTAGACGTCCGCAACAAGGAGCTCATTGGTACGTACAGACCGTCCTCAAGAGAGCACCTGCACCCAGATGTCAGACCTTGGATGGAAAACCCAAGGAGAGATTCCTCTAATGGCAACGGCACACTTGATGTTCCTGTGCCACATCAGTTGTGTCACATAAATGAGTCCTCCTGACAGCAGCAGCTTTCCAGAGCAATATTGCCACATTAGTTTGCTGCTGGCCAGCTTTTGTGGATGGGAGTCAGCCATACCAGACAGAGAACCCCCAATGCCAAATGGGATGGAAACACAGCTCTCCTTCCTTGGAGCACAGTGCTTACCTGCTTGGGGGGTGCAGGTCTCCCACATGTTCCTGGGGATGGAACAGCTCTGCTGCCACAACAGCAGTGCTTTTTTAACAATCTTGGACAGGAAGGGAGGGAAGAAATCTTCTGGTAAAATATTTCCAGGAAAACACAGATACAGAGCAGCATCTGTGTCTTTGCTGAACTAAGTAATCAACAGGAGTGCTTGCTAGAAAAATTCAATTGTCATTTCTAATATTTAACCCTTTAAGCATTAATCTGTGCCATTCTTACTTAACATTAAACAAAACCCAACAAAATAATAATCAGCTTTCCTGCCCTGGGGTTTCTCATTCTGTTAGTGTTGAACATGCTTCAGCCTCAGGCTGCTGTGGCTTCAGTGAACTCTATTAACAAATGGCATGATATAAAAAAGTCTAACTTTCGTTACAAAAGCATTTTCTATGTGTAGAATTGTGGGGTCAAGGATATAACAACTGTTCATAGAGATAGGAGGATCATTATTCTCAAAAAGAGAGATACAGAGCTTTGTTATCTGTTTCTGAAGCTTCTCCATCTGGGGCATTCAGAGTGTGTTTTCCTGAAGTCAAGTGCTACACATGAGAAATGTGTAAAGAGAGAATCCTATTCCATAGCACCATCCCTGTGCAGGTCACACTCAGGTGATATTCTCTTGTCAGGATGTTTCTTCTATTCCTGGCAAAACTTTTCAGTTTGGGAATGGTCCTCCATCTCCTCCCTCTCCCTGTCAAAGATATACCTCTGAAAGAATTTTTGGCCTCAGACACACTCTGCAACAGACCACTGGATAAAACATTGTGGGATGTGAGGCGAGTTGTGCGCTACCCCATGCTAGAAACCCTTTTAGGAGCTTCTCTGCTGGTATAGGAAGGGAACAATGGGCTCATTTCACTGAAGGAAATGAGAGATGAGGACTCCAGCAAATCACAATATATGTTGGAACATGCAGCACGTGGCTGAGCTAGAGGGTTGGAAATGGTGGGGTATTGCTGCAGACAGCCTTGTGGGGATAGTTTTCCAGTGGGTTTCCTTTTGCCTGCAGAATTCCCTTTTGTTTATTTTTTCCTCTCAGGCACATTACACAAATAGATAGCAAATGACTTTGGGCAATGCTTCTTAATCTTCACTGTTATGTACAAATACATGTCTGATTAAAATCTATTAATCATTCAATTAACAGTACAGCCCAAACAGGAAGAAACCTTGACCTTATCTTAGTTACTGTCCCTTATGTGCAGCTTATCTCTGGCATCAGACAGCCACTGGAGCCTGACAGAGCTGACAGGTAGCATACAAGGTGAACAGAACACCCAGAAGAAAAAATTCCCAGTTACTGTAAGGATTCTTTCAATCCTCCCGTAGATGAAGCCCAGCAATGTGCACTGCTCTGTCAATCATAATAAGCAGCCTAATGTTTTTCCTTGAACAGCTCTGCTTTCTCCAAATAATTCTTGTTTAAAATTGTTCTTTTAGTGCAAAATTCAGCTTCTCACATTTTTAAGCTGAAAGAAAAAAAAATTTAAAAATTGTTATGTGGTCTCTCTTGACTATGTAAAATGTGAATTCTTGACAGGTTTTGATACTGTGCTGCTTCTCACTGCCTTCAGCTGCAGTTTTATGCTGAGTCCTGTGGTTTTGACCTGTTTCTGTGGGTGTGTTTCCAGGTAAATACGCGATGCGAGACCTGGTCAATCGGCTGCCAGGGGGCAATGGGCCGAGCATCCTGTCGGACGAGACAGTGGCTGCGATCTGCTGCGCCCTGCACGAGGTCACCAGCAAGAACATGGAGAATGCCAAGGCCCTTGCCGACACCGGTGGGATAGAGAAGCTGGTCAACATAACGAAGGGAAGAGGTGACAGGCAAGTAGGCAGCCAAGATCATACCCGAGCTGTTTGTGTCCATTTGAAATGCTTAAGAATGCAGGAAATGTTTCTTTGAGTGAAAAAAAAGATCTGCCTTTGCAGTCTGGGTCTGAGGAGCTGTCACCTGGAGTCTCACTGGGAGGGAGGAACCACCAGAACCACTGTCCTGGGCAGTGTTTTCTGTCCCAGGCTTCTGGAGGCTTGTACAGCTGCTCACAGTAACCATGGTCATGGGACCTGTTCAGGTTAAATGAGTTAACCAGTCACCTCTTCAACACCTACAAGTTTAATAAAATATTGGAGCTTTTCCAAGTCAGACTACGTGAGCACCTTTGTCAGGATGTATCCCAGCAACTGTGAATTGTACCCAGTCCAGCCCTTTGGTCAGTGGAAGGAAAAGGTGGCCCGGGGGACACCCTTGAACAGCATTTCCAAGCAAGGGCTGGCTGAGGGGAGCTGATCCTGCCCAGAGCTCTGGGGAGGCTGTCAGACGAGTTCTCTGCTGGCACCGTGGTTGTCTAGTGGAAATGGAACCTACAAGTGTGTGCTGGGTCAGCAGCAGGAGGCCCCTGTGGCTGGGGGATGGGGTAGCAGGAGCCCCTCTCGGGGTGAGGCTGCTGGCTTGGCTGTGCTCATGCTGGTGATGTAGGGTCTGGTTTGCCCCACAGCAGCAGGTTCAGGCTGTTGCAAAGGTTAGGAACACTGTTCTTTTGAAGTGGAATTCAGTGGCTTTCTAACACTGCCATATTTTTCACCTCCTCAGGTCCTCGCTGAAGGTTGTCAAGGCAGCAGCCCAGGTACTGAACACGCTGTGGCAGTACCGAGACCTCCGGAGCATTTACAAAAAGGTAAATCGTAAAATTAGCTTACACTGGAAAACAGTGCCACAAAAACTCCTCATTTATTTATAACTTGCAATTTATTCTGGTGTGGTTTTCTTTTTGTCACTCCACAGGATGGATGGAATCAAAGTCACTTTATTACACCAGTATCAACACTGGAACGAGAGAGATTCAAATCCCATCCTTCTCTATCCACAGCCAATCAGCAGATGTCACCTGTCATGCAGTCAGGTCAGTCAGGTAGGGTGAAGGGGACCTGCTGTCACATGTTTTTAACTCAGCCTCTCCATTTGGTACTAATTCCATTTAAAACACAGAGGTCAGGCTGTTGCTCCTTGGTGTTTGAGCAAAGTACTTCACGTGCTCTGAGTGCTCTCTGAGCTGTTCCTGCAAAGTGAAATCCTCAATGAATAGAGCTGGACATTGTTACCAGCCATTACTCTGTTCAAAGCCATTCCTCCTGTGCTGTGTGAGGATTGTGGAGTGGCCTTATGGAACATGGGGACCTGGCAGCAACACACCCACAGGGAGAAGCTCATTTTCATTCCCAACTATGTCATGTTCCGTAAGAATGAGCAACCAACCTCAAAACCGTACTTTCCTGACTCCTCCTCATTTATTTCTCAACTTTGTTCCTTCAATGTCTTCAGTGCTAGGATTTAAATCTTCGAGACAGCTGATACAAATCCTACCTGAAGCCTTTATTTTGTCTTTATTTGGCATTTTATTTTGCCCAGTTTAGTCTTCTAGAGACTATCTAGAGCAGGTCTCTGTTAATACTGAGAAATAATAATGAATGATAATAATAATGAGAATTAATACCTACTTACTGTGACTGCTAAAATTAGTGACCAGTACTTCTTTACGTAAAAGTAACAACCCCCACACATTCCTTTATGACATGGTTGACTTGAAAAACAAGGACTCCACCAGGGATTTATTTTCCTACAGGAAGTAAACCTGTTGTGGCATTTGTGCCAGAGTTCCTCTCACCACCCAAGGAAGCCCGCACAGCTTAGGCTCGGGGAGTGACTGGATTCTACCCAAGTGTAAAGGGATATCCTGACACCAGCTGTCAAATTTCTATCTCAACGCTTTCTCTCCCAGGATACACCAGAAGAACAACTCTGTTACTCCAGTTCTTTGAATGACAAATAAGAAGTAGATGAGCAGCTCTAATTTAATATTCAGAGGATGTTGTATTTCAAAGGCAGTTTAGTAAAAATTCCTAATAGGAAGTGTCTGCTTTCCTGCTCTAGAGCATGACCAAGCCCAAAGGAGTCAGTGGAAGTTGGTGCGAGGCCCACATCCCCAGAGGGGCTGTGCAGCACCGTTCTGGGCATAGCAGATGCCTGTTGGAATAGATATGCTTGGCCTGAATCTGAATTGTTAC